ATCCTTCCAGCACCTGCTGTGGGGATTTTAAAAGCCCCCTCACGAATTCTCTCTCTCTCTCTCACACACACACACACACACACACACACACACACTCAAACACATTCCTGCACCTCTTCTCCTTCCCCCAGGTGTGTTTTCCTTGCCTCTCTCTCCCCTAAACTTTTGCCTCTGTAATTTGTTTCCTGAGCCCAGTTTTTTCTATGGCTCACTTCTACCTCTGTGACTTTCTAAATAAACTTTTTAAAAAGAAAAAAAAAGCCCCCTCACTGTGGAATTCTGGACCTGTGAGGGCATTATTTAAATAACTAATTACTCACCTGGCGGCTGTGGCTCAGTGGTTGAGCATCGACCCATGCACCAAGAGGTCACTGGTTTGATTCCAGGCAGGGCACATGCCCAGGTTGTGGGCCTGATCCCCGGTGGGGGGCATGTAGGAGGCGACCAGTCGATGTTCTCTCTCATTGATGTTTCTATCTCTCTCTCCCTCTCCCTTCCTCTCTCTGAAATCAATAAAGAAAAATAGTAATAATAAACAATTACTCTATCCCCAACATGACTTCTATTCCCCAAGAAAACCCAAAGCCAGCTCACAGCGAATGATCCATGTTAGATCAACAGAATGTATACGGATCCTAATAGTAGTCTGAGAAAGCTAAAATGGGCAAATTTTCTGAAATATCATACAACATGCTCAAAAAACAAACTGTGGTCCATTTAACCTAAAGGAATGCTTCCCCAATACCAAATTATAGGCAAATTATAAGCTTCGCTCTTCTCCCAGATGAATCACAAATGATTACACAACTAAAGAGGATTTACATACAGTAGGTGTTGAGTATTCTAGTTCAAGGCCAGCAACCTGGGCCAAACCAGCACCACCTGTTTCTGTAAATTAAATTTCATTGGAACACAGCCACACCCATTCATTTAGGTGTTGTCTGTGGCTGCTTTGGCACTATAATGGCCCAAGCTAGATGAATATTTCCAAGAAGACTGTATGGCCAACCAAGCTTACTATATTTATTCTATCGCCTTAAGAAACGTTGCTGGCTCCCATTCTCAGGAAAGAGCATTAGCTAGGAAATCACAGAGACCTATATTTAAATCCCAGTTCCATAATCAATACTGGAAATTACCTCATAATTCTGGGTAATGTCAGTCATCTCATGTATAAAATTAGGATACCACCAATCTTGCAGGGGGTTATGAAGATCTCATTTAATAAGACAAAATCCCTAACATACAGTAAGCAAGAAATGATAGCTATTAAACTGCAATCAATACCAAATACAAATTTGTTTACCATGTTAAGACATATTCAAATGTAAAGTGATTCAAGCTCCAGCCAACAATTTTTTTTTTTTTGAAATAAGACATTATGCTGGCATTCATCTACATTTCCTATTTTAAAAAGGAACACCTAAGCACTAATGTTTGGGAAGTCCAAAATTATTTCCCTTTCCTCATCTTTTGAGTCCTAAGGTAAAATGTAACAAAAAAACTCAAGAAGCCAAACTCAAAGTTTTCTTTAATATAAAGCGAATCTCTTCAATCTATAATATATGAAATATGTCAAATAAAACCTAAAATGTACCTGAGGTTCTGAATGAAAAATCTTGATCTATGATTAAGAAGGGGAAAAAAGGTCAAGGGGCCCTAAAAGTTGTTTCCAGATTTCCGTAAAGCCACCAGGAATGCTTGCTGAGCAGTCCAAGTTCCTGAGTTCACTCATATAACTAGCATTTGCTGAGCACCAACTATGTTCCAGGCTGTCAGCTCCAGATGTGAACCACACTACGAGAGCTTATAAATAAGGGGGTGCTGAGCACTGTGTAAGATTAGAACCACAAGACAAAGCCATCTGTATGAAGTCATGTAAGATAATAGAGCCCGAGGCCTCCCAGAGACGATCCAATCACCTGTACTGCAGACAGCTAAAGTGCAAGTCAGTAGCCAACACCATGTTCCTGACTTCTTTACCAAGCTGTCTTTCTCCGAAATCATTTCACAAAGGCCTGTCTTTCTTACTCTTTCACTCCTTTGTGACCCTGCAACTACTATTCTGAAAAAACTACACAATCTTCAAAATCTTGGATTCCACTTGACAATGCTAGTACTTTCTTCTTCTGCCTTCCAACCAAATTCTGTGTCTCCATTATTGCATAGACTATAATTTAACCATTTGCTTCTTTATACACACACACACACACACACACACACACACACAGATTTTTTTTTGGAGAGATAGAAACATTGATGTGAGAAACATCAATCGGCTGCCTTCTGCACGCCCCCTACTGGGGATCAAGCCCATAACCTTGGCATGTGCCCTGACCAGGAATCGAACCAGGACCTCTCTGTCCATGGAACAACACTCAGTCCACTGAGCCACATGGGTTGGGCACCATTTGCTTCTTGATCAGTGCTCACCTTCCACCCAGACTCTGAGGTCCTTGAAGACAGGAACCAAGTCTTTATTCCTTTTTAATCCTCACCCCAGGACATTTTTTTCCATTTTTTGTTCAGATAGAGTGGGAGAGAGAGAGAGGAAAAAAGAAAGAGAAAGAGAGAGAGAGAAACATCAATGAAAGAAAGAGAGAAAAAGAGAGAGAGAGAAAAAAACATCAACGTGAAAGGGACACATCGAGTGGCTGCCACCCACATGATCAACCAGGGCCAGGGACAAACTGCAACTGAGGTACATGCCCTTAACGAGAACCGAACCCGGGTCTCTCTGGACCGCAGGCCGATGCTCTAACAACTGAGCCAAACCGGCCAGGGCCAGGAACCAAGTCTTGGTAATGCCTGAGTATTTATTATGTGGGAGGTATAAGATAACCTTACAGTGTGCACTCTCATTTAATGCTTACAATAACTTGATTATGCCAACATTACAGAGGAGGAAACTGAAGCTCGGAGATGTTAAGAAAGCAAATGCAGGGTGGTGGACCCCACAGGTCACTTATTTAGCATCCATAGTGCCTAGGTGCCCCCTAACCTCCTTCCTAACAGGAGTCTAGCATTGTTCACATTTCCTCCCTCCTTCATGTGATCACATGCTTCACTCAGGAGAGGCTGGACCCCTTCTTCACATAGGTGGTTAAGCATGACAGTCAAAAGCAACCATAAACACCGTCCATTTTCCAGTGATGCTGGGGTGGGCACACAAAACCCTTCTGTGACCTAAAAATGTCTGCCAGGGAGCTTCTGAGAAACGTTTCCTCTCAAGTAAAGACACAAGCAGACATCTTCCCTGGAAACTGCCTTACCCACTGCAGACTTGTTAAATTCCTCAAGAAAATTTCTCAATCTACTTATAGTAACTTGAAGTCAACTAAGTCAGTTTTTGGTTGCTGTCAGCTAGAAGCACCCTAACATGCATACAGAAAGAAGGGTGGGGCCAAGATTCCAAGTACACAAGATGACTTCACAGCCCTCAAAAATGTAATGACTAGCCCTGGCCAGTTTGGCTCAGTGGTTCAGTGTCAGCCCATGGACCAAAGAGTTGTGGGTTCAATTCTGGCCAAGGGCACATACCTCCACTGCAGTTTGTCCCCGGCCCTGGTCGTGGTCATGCAGGAGACAACCAGTCAATGTGTCCCTCTCACGTCGAGGTTTCTCTCTCTCTCCCTTTCTCTCCCTCTCTCTCCTTCCCATTCTATCTGAAGATAAACAGAAAAATATCCTCAGGTGAGGATTAAAAAAAAAAAATGTAATGACTAGAGTCTCACCTCTCAACTGTATAATGCTCCTACCATCCAGCACCAATGCCTGTATGTAAGGAGCACTTGTGAACTAAGTGCTAAGTAAATAAATAGATGAATGAAATAGAATTTAAGCCCAGCTTTTAAAGACAGGATAAATTTTATATCCAGTTGTAGATTAAATATTAGACTCCTATGTAACTCCCTCAATAAGTATAAAGTCTACTGACTCTTAGACAAGAACAAGGTTTAATGTATTAGGAAAACAGTGTATACTCAAGTAAACTAAGGAATACTGTAAACACTAGTTTCCAAGTCCAAACACATCTCAGAAGACTGGGTCCATGAGAGAGCACAAAAGATCCTGTTTCTATAAGCCTCTTTCACAATGTCTACAGCACCTACTAGCAACACAACCGTGATCCAAAAGGCCACCCTCCTGGCAAACTAGAAGAGGGTCGGGGGAGGGGAAGCAGAGAGAGAATGACACCTCTCTGCACTTCTAGTCTAGCAACCTTCACAGTTCATTTGGTCAGAGGACTCTCCTGTCCCTGCCATCTGGCAAGGACGCTGAAAGTGTCAATTTTCAGAACCTTAAGTATAGCCTCCAGGCTTCACACACAGGTCACAGAACAGAACCCCCTGCCCCTGAAAATCAGGGAAGACATTTCTCATTCAGGAGGGACCACTTACCAAGATCTCATGACCCATGCCACAGCAAGACACAATATTCACTTTTTTTTTTTTTTAATCCTCACCCGAGGATATTTTTTTATTTATCTTCAGGTAGAAAGAGAAGGAGAGGAAGGAAGAGAGAGAGAAACAGCGACATGAGAGAGTCACATCCACTGGTTGCCTCCTGCACGACCCTGACCAGGGCTGGGGACGAACCACAACTGAGGTAGGTGCCTTTGGCTGGAATCGAACCCGGGACTTGTTGGTCCGAGGGCCAACGCTCCACTGCTGAGCCAAACCAGCCAGGGCACAATATTCACTTTTAACTTCAAGGCTGTAATGCTTGTAAACGTTCCAATGTAAAACCTTTTCTTTAAACGAAAAATCTGTTCACTTGGTCTTCTCTCAAAGTGCTAAAAGATAAGGAATTTTGATCTCAACAAAAATCAAAGAAAACTCTACTTGCACCAGATTGAAATGTCCAAAAGCCACAACCTAACTGTCTTACTGGAAGCCAAGGAATCATGCTGACTGCTCACAGAGGATTTTTTTCTAAGGACCAATTCCGATCCACGGAGGCAGCCCAGCCACATGCAATGCCTTCAATGCACAGCTTACCTTGTAATTGCTTGAGTTCACCCAAGAGGTAGCGAGTCCATCCACAAGTTTATCTAACATGGTCTGGTCATGCTCAAGGTCAGCAGACTTCTGTTTGTCTGAGAAATAGTCTATAAGTTCTTGGCCAACTTGCAGTCGTTTCCCCACATCCTTCTGCAACACCTGTGCCAGGCAGGACTCCATGCGAGGCTCCATAGTGGAATTCAAATCCAGAAGCAGCAAAGGCTAGAGGGCAGTCAGGGTGACACCCTCCCAGTAAATGTACCCGGGAGGTTGCCTCTTTGTTCGCTGAAGGTTGCTAAGAGCCTGTGTTTCAAAGATGCAATCCGGGGAATGGCAACAATGCACCATGTGTGTCTGAAGAGCAGCTGGTAGGATATTAAAAGTTCAATTTAAATAACTAGTAGAAGATAAAGGAGTGAGTGGCGGGGTGATGGTCTAGTATTGGGTCTGAAATACTTCATAATTCAGCAGTCCATTCTGAAAAATAAGAGAAGAAAAGGACCAATCAGCACAGATAACGTAACACTCAAATGTTATAAAACATTAAATCAAAGACAAAGCAGTTCATGCTGCAGAATCATTTACAATCACAAGTGGAGTGAGAATCAGGAATGCTTGGCAACCATATCAAAATACCACAATTTTTTTAAAAAGATTTTTTATTGATTTTTAAAGAGAGAGGAATGGAGAGAGAAACATGGATATGAGTTAAACATCCATCAGCTACCTCCGCACGTCCCTTACTGGGGAGAGAGCAACCCGGGCACGTGCCCCTACTAGGATCAAACCAGCAGCCTTTCAGTGCACAAGATGATGCCTAACCCACTGAGCCACACCAGCCAGGGCCATAATTATTTTTATCAGGAAGTACACTGAAGCCCAAAGCAGAACCAATGGGCTATATGGTTGATGTTTTTCACAATTTCCCAGCTTATTAATGTACCAGTCAGCAAAGCAATCTCTGCTTTAGCTGGCATATTTATTTGTAACTTAAATTTTGCTCCCCACCAAAAACTTAACACCTATCTGTGTCTGTAGCTTACTGTCTTACTCTGTTTTCTAAAAAACCAGGGGCTAGAAATGGGGTGGGCTCCACTAACCACAGTGGCCAGCCTGGTAACGTTAACCAAAGTCAAAGGCAGTACCTACATCAAACTTTTTGCTTAGCAGCCTTACAGGGTGAGCAGCAGCCTTTTCCACATCCTCCCACCAACAAAGAAAGTAATGAAGGAAAAAAAAGGAAACCAGCTCATATTCTGATCAGTTATTGACACCGTGCTCTCCACTGACACTCAATCACACCATTTGGGCCTGGTATTGTTATAAAAGCAAGAGATCTCAAACTCATGTCTGGGGTAGGGCAAAACACATGATACAGGAAAAGTACCAAAATCCTTTTCACTAAGTGAACAAACTGACCTTTAACCTACAGCTGCTGGAGCAGTTGCACACACTTATGTCTCATGTCAATTCCTTTCATTCTAACCTAAGAAGACCCACAAAAAACCTACCTTCAAGATGCAGCACCTCCTGATACTGCTAAAGAGAAATGTTCTGCACAGCAACCATGCATCCCAACTCCCAGGGGTCCTCGCAGAGAAAGCTGAACGTGTAAACCAAGTTCTGTGCATGGCAACACTTCCACTCTGAGCACAGTGATTCTTGACCTAACATCACCCTTCCCTGTCTCTACTCTCAATACAAAAAGCATAAATGGTCTTTCCGAGTTCTAGAATCACAGATTTTTTTATACCAATTGGAATCACGTAAGTCAAGTCATTCAAGAAGGAAAATGCTCCCTCAAAGCCCCTGGTGCGTGCTTACCCATCTTCTGCTCTACTGCTTCTAACAATGCTGCCCTGGCCGGTTTGGCTCAACAGAGCGTCAGCCTGTGGTCCAGAGAGACCCGGGTTCGGTTCTCACTAAGGGCATGTACCTCGGTTGCAGTTTGTCCCCAGCCCTGGTTGGGTGGTGTGGGTGGCGGCCACTCGATGTGTCCCTTTCACATTGATGTTTCTCTCTTTCTCTCTTCCTCTCTCCCCCTCCCACTCTATCTGAACAAAAAATGAAAAAATGTCCTCGGTGAAGATTAAAAAAAAACACAAAAACAAAACAATGCAGGGGGCTGGGGGCAGAAGGGAACTCAAAACTCACTACCTCACACGAAAATCCTCCCTTCAAGGGAGGAGGCATCTGCTTTCCAGTCATTTCCACATTCTGGAACTAGTCCCTACCTCCTAGGAAGGGTCTTTAAACATATAAAAGCAGCTATTCAAAGGCTTTATGCATTTTGAGATACACATTAATGATTTTTTCTTTTGAGCTCTTATTGTTCTATGTTGAAAGGGGAATGGATGTTAATGGTATTTTGCTGAATTAAAATAAGAAATATTAAGAGTGTTTTCATCTAAAAAAAAAAAGCAGCTATTACCCTTCTTTCCAATTTTTAGTTCAAACAAAATATCTCCAGTTCTTTTATAGCTCATATGTTGGACTAAAGAAAGTATCAGTGACACAGGAAAAAGAAAAAACCAACGGAACCTTTTCCTTCTATGCCCAATATTAGCCCAAAAAGCAGGTCAAACAAGGTCGGGCTTGTGAAATGGTCACACATCTTTGTTACTTCTCCCCTACCACGATGGAGTCTAAGTCACCTCCCACAGAGACTCTAGAATAGACCCTGTGACTTGCTTTGGCCAGCTAGAAATCAGCAACTGCAAAGCAAGCAGGGATTTGGTAGCAAACACTGGAGCGTGCCCTCTTAGAATGCTGCCCGGAGACTGCCATGCTGTAAGGAAGCTGCTCTAGCTTCCTGAAACATGAGAGGCCATGTTCTCCACCTGACTTCTAGCAGCAACTCTCAGACCTCAGTGAGGCCATTTGGGACTCTTCAGCCATTCTGGTTATCATCTAGCTGCAGCTATGCAAATAAGTCTAAGGAGATAAGCAGAAAAACTACCTAGCCAAACCACAGAATTATAAAAAATATTTCATTGTTGCTTTAAGCCACTAAGTTTCTGGTGTTCGTTACATACCAACAGATAGCTGAAACACTCCTTCCTCCCCTAAACATCTGTCTGTCATTCTCAATGGAAAGAATCTCATATCCTTTACTGCTTCAAGGGGACTAAAATCAACAGGCACTAACTAATAATGATAACACCATTTTTAAGAATCTACCTGAGGTGTGTGTCATCCCTATTTTATAGATGAAGAAACATGGTAAAGGTAAGTAATATTCTCAGGCCGCATGCCCAATGAGTATCCTTTCCCCACCTTCAAACCCTTGTTATAACAAGTCTGCCCTAGTTCTGTTCTGACTCAGAGAAAGGAGGTCAGACTTCATGTTTACCTGGGAAACAACAGGCAAGAGAGCCAACCTCCATTCCAGGAAGAAAAATGATCCCGTTCATTCTGGTCTCTATAGAATGATTTGTAAAATAGGTATTATATAAAAGCCCTCGGTTAGATTTCTTTTTTCTTTCCTCTATTAGATTTCTAACAAATAAGCATTAAAGGCTCAGCACACTCAGAAGTTGTTCCCAAATTCCCACATACAAACACACAGAATGAAGATACTGGAAGCCCCTACGCATTAGGCAGACTGGGTCCTCTCTTTCCGCTCTTATTCTTACTACAGTGAATTATTTGCACCTTTTCCCCATACTTTCGAGCATTTTCTCCATCTCTACAGATATTCAGGAAATATCAGTCACACAGTACCAAATTCACAGGGTACAAGAGTTCAAGACTGACCTCCTTCCCACTCCTGCCCCAGCCACTCAGTTTCCCTGCCAAAGAGCAAATAATGTCCTGTTTCCTGTGTGTTCTATTAGAGATATTTTTAGCTACGTAAGCAAATAATTACGTGTTCTCCTCTCTGAACCTCCCCACCCCAGGAACAATTTTCTAAGCATTTACAATTAAATTATAAAAAGAGAATCAGAAACAAATCGATAAAAATATAGGCACAACTTCATGTAGCAATGAAATCACACAAAGACTTTCTATTTTAGGTAATTCAGAAAACAGGAAATAAACAGGAGAGGATTTGGAGGGCTTGGAAAGGAGTGGAGGAGGGCTGTAGGCTGACTGAGGAGAAGGAGGTAAAAATCTCTTCCCTCCACCCACACCTGCCCAGGTTCTCTACCAGGGAAGAGTGCAAAAAGGAAACAGGTCTGGAGTACACCTGGAACGTATACTCACAGTTACCTATGGCTGAGCTAAATAAAAATGAGGTGTGTTGTGCGTAAGGCATTACTGGAAGGCCTTGGGACACAGCATGAACAGGACACAGCCCGGGCCGCAGTGAGCTTCCGGACTAGCACAGCACCTGCTGACAACCCCTGTGGTCAGTCCAGTAGGCACCGTTCGAGAGAGTGGTGTCACACACAGCACTGCCTTACAGCAGTGCTGACATTAGAACTTACTCAGCACTTAACACTATTTCTAATTTTTTCTTTAAAGATTAACTTTTGCTCTGGCTGGTTTGGCTCAGCAGTTGGAGCATCACCCTGCGGACCAAAGAGTCATGAGTTTGATTCTAGTCAGGGGTACGTACCTGGGTTGCAGTTTGGTCCCCAGTCCTGGTTGGAGTCGTGCAGGAGGCAACCACTCAATGAATGTCTCTGTCTCTCTCCCTCTCCCTCTCTCCCACTCTATCTGAAGATAAATGGAAAAATGTCCTCGGGTGAGGATTTTAAAAATAAAAAGATTAACTTTCCACAAATTTCACAAAATAAGAGAAATGTAAAAATGATACAGAAAAAAAGGTAGAGAAGGTTGGAATAACCAAGCACCTTTTCTCTTATCAATTTATCAGGCTAAATTTTCTCCTTTTGAAAAATCTCACTGTGAAAGCTATGGAGTCACACCAAATATTACTGATTCATTCATCTGGGAAAAGACATGTTTCAGGCATTTCTGAAAAATGCTCCAGCTCTCTCAAATTCAACCCCAACTGTGACAGGCCTTTCCATTGCCCAAAAGCGCAGTTCCCCAACTAAGTAGTTAGGTTCCAAGGATATCAACTGTTTCCTCTGTATAGGGGCAAAGTAACAAAAGGTCAATACAACAGTCCTATAGTCATTCTTCTTTAGGGCACCTAGAAAATAGAAATTAACCAAGCAACCTTTACCATAATAATGAAGAATATACATAGTGAAGCAAACATAGGTTTACACTTGTGAGAACACAAGAGTTTATTCTTGCATTATTATTTATTAATCATTTTCCATACCAACAATGGTAAACGTATTTTTGCCCCATTCTATACAACGGAATAACCTTCGCTGAGTCACTTAAGAGCTGGAAGGCTATAAAAAACATGAGGCCTATGCACACTTTGTGCCTCAGTTTTCAGAGCTGCAGAATTCTCAACTTTATTGCCATTTTCATTATATTAACTATCTTATTTATTCTTGTTGAAACCAGTACTTTTTATTTTATTTATTTATTTTTCCAATGTTTTTATTTGC